TGCAGCGCTTCATTATCTGAGCATTGGGCAATTCCAAAAGAAAATCCGTGAGAAGCTAAAATCCATATAAATTTAATTGTTAAAACAAAGATAGACTGCCTCGGTGTGACGTAATTTAGAGACGTCGAGAGGTTCTCGTATTGATCAAAGAACTGGGAACAATAAGTCCTATTAGAAAAGCATGAGCATAATTGTTTCTCAAGCAGCATTTTGTGCTGCCTTGATATGTTCAAATAAGATAAGTATGCCAAGGAGGACGCAAACCTCATCATAGTGAGCCGTCAAAAATTTGGCGACCACATTTCCATGTTTAGTGAGAAGGTCCTGCTAAGCAAGCAAATCCAAAAGTATATATGAAAAGGGTATAGGAAGACAGCAAGGTATGTCATTATCAGACTTAGAGAGGTGAGAAAGAATTCAAATCTGACCTTAAAGGTAGAAAATGCATCAAAGTTAGGCAACTCTACAAATCTGACCTTATCATAACGCTACTTAAAACCAAGCAACAAACACATCAAAACTACAAGAAAGAGCACCTATTGTGCTCTAAATTGAATACTACAAAAACATCTATAATGCATTTAAACACAAATATAATGATAAATCTACTAGCTTAAAAAAAGAGATTAGGTTGTACAATAACTCACAAAATGTGGGTTATCACACCCCCAAACTTTAATCATTACTTATCCTTATGTGATGCGACAAATAAAGACACAGACTACACCTACTAGCAGCCACCCTTACTATCAATCTTAACTCATAATTAACTTAGAATTCAACTCATAATTAACTCTGAGGTGTCCATCAATGTTTCTATTTAGCCTTTTATTTTTCGTATAAGGCACATTCTCGCATCTCACATCTTTACATGGATAGAATAAGGAATGTTTTCTACAAAATTGTCTTCTGATAAAAAAACCTTATTTCTAGTATCACTGAACAATTTTCAAAGTTGATCCAGTATATGAACTTGACTACTAAACTTTAAATCTCCTTGTCTAGCATGAATCTTTTGAATATTAATGTTACTAAATCTTCCTTCCTATAACAAAGATATATGTGAATTACGAACACAAACTAATGGATTATGGCACTAGGCTAAAGCTAAAGCTAATTCTAGATACCACACTAGAATCCTATGAAATTTCAAAATAAAAATCATGAAGATAGTAGAACTTGAGCACATTAAGTAAAATACTTTTCATTTTTGCAATTGTTTAGAAGATATGTCCAATATTTGACCATTCAATGCATATAACTCTATAAAGTCATAATAGAAGCCAATGGTTTTCCAAAAGCTTATTATCTTGTTAAAAAAGAAAACTAGTAAAAATGGTAGGTATAACATACCAGGTAAGAGATGCATAAGAACACTGACGATTTTGTCAACAGAACTGAACACCAAACTGCAACGCCAAACAATCAAAGCCCGTGCTAAAGGCCCCTGCAACAGAAGCACTTAAATAAGGCGCAAAATCGACCAATTAACCGCTCGTCTTCTAAGATGTCAAATTACGGTAAAACACTCACCTCAGCAAATGAGAAGCAAACCGGTAAACCAAGAAAATTGTATTCGCATAGTAGCAAAAATCCTGAAACACATGAACAATACTTTAGAAACCTTATTCTTATTAGTTATGTTTCAACAGAAGAAACTGAAATAAACTATTAACTTTATCCTTATGATAATGATAATGACAATTACGAGACATCACTCCAATGATTTTGATCAGCAATGCAACTGAAACACAGTTTAAAATTAAATAAACAAGCCTTCTTCCAATGACTTCGCAGCCTTGTGCCTCTGACAACATTTTACCTAAAAAATACACTTCCTGACAGTACAGTTAACATCGAGAAGCCTAGGATCTCTCAAGAATAACTTCCAATTTCTAGTCTGCCCACTCCCCTCCATAATCCTTCTTTTTATTCCCTCTCTCTCTCCTCACCCATACCCCACTTAGCCCACTCAACAGGTAATTTTATAAGTGGAATTGTTCCTGTTTCCCCCCTCTTCTTTTCACTCAGGTACACCCTCTCATAACGCGGTGCATCTCCTCTAATTAAGATTGTGTGCATCTCCTGAAAACCAAAAAGAGTTGAGATTAGTAACTTGAGAAAAATAGGTTACATAACTACATGTTTTGGTGCTAACTCAAAAGCAAAGGGGTGCAAAATTGGCATTCTGCAGAGTAGTTGCAACTCTAAACATGAAGGACTAAACCCAAATTATTCTCAGTATTGGATTCTTGAAAAGGGATTTATTGGAAAACCACTATCAAGATTTGTTTTCACATCCATGAAATCCAGAAACAAAAAAAACAGCAAGTTATAAACTTTAGCAGCACACTCCTCCCATAAGAATTTACAGCCGCAAATCATCTAATATAAAAAAAACCAGAACAAGCACAGTATCCAATTTACTCCAAAATTAATGCAATGGAAAAAAAAAACTATAGGAAACATATCTATTGAATGAACAGCAGTAAAACCGAAACCGGTTCAGTCGGATGCCATAAGCAACTTATAAAGATAATTACAACTGAAAGTCATACAAGCAGTAAAACCCATCATCAAATTTCAAAAAGAATTCTTAAAATCAAGTCCTAAAAGTTTAGTATGAACATGACTGAGATAACTAGAAACCAGAAAACCATAATATCATATCCTATTTAATAACCTCAAAGTAACTTAACCAACATTCAATCGCAGCACCAATGATAAATATGAGAGTAAACCTATAATCAGCTGTTGTTACCAAATCAATGCGAAAACTAAAATGCGACGAAACCGGAATCAACGAGATAAAACCACTGCTCACCTCTGTGAATTCAGCATAACCTCCAAAAGTCAGCATGCCAACTTTCAAGTCATTGACCGAGTCCCCAACTGCTGCAATGATTCCCACAGCCTAAAATATAAATGAAAGTCAGCACACATATGAGTATAGGCATTCTGCATCAAGTGATCAGCTTCATAAAAGAAATCTATGTTTGGGGATACATCATACCTCAAATCCTGCATCGAATGGAAGACGGGCCGCAGTATCATTGTTATTGCCACCAAAATAGCGGCCTGAGCTAAATTTTACCTATCAATACAAATTCTTGTCAGAATTGTAGCTAGAAAATAAATTCACACACAAATCTTCTAGAAATATGTAAAAACTTACATCACTAGCATTTACACCAGCATAAATTATCTTAACAAGAACAAAGTTTGATTTGATAGGTAATCTCAGTGGTGCTCTCACTAAGTCGGTAGCATTCTGAAAGTTGTGAGTCAAGGTATGAACAACTCTGCAAACAGTAAGCAGCAATATGAAACAACTAAATAACTCATCTTAAAATGAATAAAACCATGAGAACACAGTCAATTTAAAATAACTCATCTTTATTGTGAATTAAGAGTCTACAAAGTACAAACACTCATGCTCTTTTTGCCAAGGCACACCAAATAACAAAATGATATGCAGACTAACCTTTCACCACCATTTCCATAGGTACAAAGCCCCCCATCATATTAAGGAATTTGGGATCCACCTTTAAGCCCATCTCAGTTTCAACAAACTGCACTAAACATTAATATTTCAGGGATTAATTATAGTAAACTGTAATGTAGTGTAGAATTTATTTTGAAAATATCAAAATTTTCAAGTCCAAAAACAACTCGAATTCCTTGACGTTTGTATAAACGAAGTGCTCTAGTAAACATAACAACACCACCTGTGAAGCGAAGAAACAGTTTAGTAAACTATATAGTAAATTAATTTTTGGGAAAACAAAAAATGATAGTAAGTTAGTATAAGTTTTGTGGAGATGCATAATTGATTGTTAAATGACAAACCTTTAGAGCCACTATAGATAGGGTCAAGATACATCGGATAAAGACCCGAAGCAGAACCCAAATTGATGATCACCCCAGGCCTTTTCAACGCTGCCATGCTTTTAATCTATTTAAAAGCACACAATCAACAACAAAAGGTTTCAATCCCCTTTTTTCTTAACTGTGTGATCGATAATGTGATACGTGAAAGAAAACCATGACAAATTTTAAGCTTACCGCAAGGCGGGTAGTGTCAAAAACAGCAATAAAATTCACATTAAGAGTATGTCTCCACGATCGAGTGCCGTCCGTTTCATCCTTATCAAACGGTACAGGGTTTTCATCCACCCTAAAGCATGTATTAATGGAACTGCAGTATATAGAACAACAAAGAATTCGAGAACTGCAATAGAACAACAACATATATCATATAATAATAGTTTCAATTTAATAATATATCATTACAAATAACATAGAAATGTAATAATTTTGAAAAAGTAAAGCAAGATTTCGAGAACTGCATCTTCTCAAAATCTCTACTTCATCTTCTCAAAAGCATGTTCATCAAAGGCTAGATAAAAACATACTGCCACTAATTCTATATAACTTTGTAGTGAATAGAATCTTCAAAACATATACTGATAACCCAGCAGCAAGTTAGCTACAAGAAACAAAGATTCACAATCAGACAAAAATCAAAACAAAACAAAAACTTGAAATTCCTAATCCAGACAACTAACAAAATTAGCTACATGAAACAAAGATTTTCAGAGTGCAATACACTCACCATCTAGAAATCATCTTGAAATTTTCCAAAGTGTCTAAAGAACACCAGTCTTCCAAAGTACAAAAGCCAGGTGAAGATGGATGACAGTTCCGAAGTGCCCAAATCATCCTTTTGTTCCTAAAGCTAAGACATCAAAAAGGGAAAGTAACAAATACTTTTCAGTTACTTATCACATTAATACTCTTCAATTAAGATAGCTAGCCTAAATTTACATTAATACTCTTCAATTAAGATAGCTAGCCTAAATTTAACTTTGGCTGCCTCGTCCTATGGTCCAAGAGTTTATCTTTTAGTTTTAGAAGGGGGGTTTAACTGCTCTGTTATAGACTTTTTGTTCATTGAATATTTAGGATTGCACATGCATTTATTATTATTCACAATTTTGCTAGATGTTCCACCTTTTCCCCTGACGGGATCTCACTTGTAATGAGTCCAACCTGGTACTAATGGTGAAGACATCTACTGTTCCTCCAGTTTCGGGCACAGGAACTTGTTCCTCCAGTTTCGGGCACAGGAACTTTTTATTATACACAATTTTGCTAGATGTTCCACCTTTTCCCCTGACGGGATCTCACTTGTAATGAGTCCAACCTGGTACTAATGGTGAAGACATCTACTGTTCCTCCAGTTTCGGGCACAGGAACTTGTTCCTCCAGTTTCGGGCACAGGAACTTTTTATTATACACATTTTTGCTAGATGTTCCACCTTTTCCCCTGACGGGATCTCACTTGTAATGAGTCCAACCTGGTACTAATGGTGAAAACATCTACTGTTCCTCCAGTTTCGGGCACAGGAACTTGTTCCTCCAGTTTCGGGCACAGGAACTTTTTATTATACATATTTTTGCTAGATGTTCCACCTTTTCCCCTGACGGGATCTCACTTGTAATGAGTCCAACCTGGTACTAATGGTGAAAACATCTACTGTTCCTCCAGTTTCGGGCACAGGAACTTGTTCCTCCAGTTTCGGGCACAGGAACTTGTTCCTCCAGTTTCGGGCACAGGAACTTTTTATTATACACAATTTTGCAAGATACTCCACCTTTTCCCCTGACGGGATCTCACTTGTAATGAGTCCAACCTGGTACTAATGGTGAAGACATCTACTGTTCCTCCAGTTTCGGGCACAGGAACTTGTTCCTCCAGTTTCGGGCACAGGAACTTATTAGCATATGCAGTGTGTATCCTATGTGTCAAGTTGTTAAGTCTTTAAACAGAGCAGTGTGAGCCTCCCCTAACTAAATCCTACAAAGAGCTCTTTCTCCATAGTTTAAGGCATATTTGAAAAACCGTAATTCATTTCAGCAACTAGAGAATTAACAGTAAGAAAGAAACACAGACAAATGTGGCATTTTTATATAATAACAATTACCAAGCATTGTGCATGTGAAATGAGAGTAAATTTCATAGAATAGACCCATAAATAAAACAAATAAGTGTTAATGCAGGAAATAGGATACACCTGATTATCTTCCTGTAGTTTATCTTCCACATCAAAAATAGCATCTACAAGAGCAGTGTAATTATCTGCTTCAATAAGCTCCCAGTTTCCTTCATACAATTTTACCAGCTCCAACTTTAACACTGGTTTCACTTTGGATTCATGAATGCCAAGGTTCGTCATTGCGCGGAAAGCCGCTTTAACTTTCGGATTGGGTGGTGCCATTTATGATCAATCAGTAACAACTTTCTATACTACACGCTACAAAATTCAACAAAACCACAATCATATTTCAATGATATCCAAGATGAAACAAAATGCAGTATATGATTTAGGAATGACAAATACCAGTTACCCTTACCGAACTACGATTCGGCTGAAGTCAATCTTGATTCTTGGACGGTGATCTTAATGGCGAAGATTAATGCAATAATTGAAACCTATAAACGATCAAGGACAAAAGAAAAACGTAGAGTAATCGTCGGAGAACGAAAAACGTAAAGTAATCGTCGAAAAACCTAAAGTAAATCGTCGGAGAACGAAAAATGTAAAGTAATCGTCGGAGACGGAAATTGAAGTGAAAACCAGAAAAAAAAAAGTTAAAGAGACGGAACAGTAAAGAAAACATAGAACCTGTGAGAATTGATTCTTGAACGGTGATCTCAGTCGAAAATAGGAAGATGATGGGAGAAACTGATTCACAAACCTAACCCAAACCAAGAACATAATCAGTCGAAAGGAAGATGAAGGGAGAAACTGATTCACAAACCTAACCCAAACCAAGAACAGAATCAGTCGAAAATAGGAAGATGAAGGGAGAAACTGGTTCACAAACCTAACCCAAACCAAGAACAGAATCAGTCGAAAAAGAAAGAAGAAGTACATTGCGACGAAATACGAATCATAAACAAATCCACAAACCTGGTTCAAGCAGAATCGAAGAGATTGAGACAAGGTCGACGAAGAGAAGTCGAATAAGCGTGCGTTGTGATAGAAACTGGTTCACAAACCTAACCCAAACCAAGAACAGAATCAGTCGAAAAAGAAAGAAGAAGTACATTGCGACGAAATACGAATCATAAACAAATCCACAAACCTGGTTCAAGCAGAATCGAAGAGATTGAGACAAGGTCGACGAAGAGAAGTCGAATAAGCGTGCGTTGTAATTTGGTTTGAACACAGCTTCTTTTGGTGCTTTGACCCTGTTGAAATTTGCAACTCTCACCAATTATGTTAGCCCCTGATACAATCATTTTAGGAGATATTTTTTCTAAAATGTATTTGCTAACTAACTCCAAATACGAAAAAGAATAAAAACCAATTTTAAAGAGTGTGTATAAAGTCACATTTGTTTAGACCAAAATCTAAATTTACATAAATGTATTATCACTTTTTTTTAGTAAAAGTTTCGTTGTGATTTTAGGGTTAAGATATGCAGACCACTAACACCTTTTTCATAAATTATTATATCATAAAAATAATTTATAAATTATTTTTATTATTCTAATAAAATGTTTGTTTCTACTAAGGGCTGAGATTAATTTGATTCGTAGCAATTATAGTTCTAGTTAGAAGATAAAATGAGGGTTTGGTTTGTAAAAAGAGAAAATTTATCCATTACTTGCGCTTCATAAATTGAGGGATTTTTATAAACGTTTCGTTTGTAAATAGAAAAGAAAATAAAAAAGAGAAATTGTAGTAGAGATTAAAAGAAATTAGGTCTTATTTTGAATATGATGATTTTCATCTATGGTAATTGTGTATATTTTATTAGTGATTTACTAGTTTTACAATAAATTAAATCGATTATTATTCTCAATATTTTGATGTAAAATTCATTCTTTTAAAAACAAGTCTTTAATTCTTTAGATGTGTTCGACATCAAAAATAGACTTTTGAAAACAAGTCTTTAATTCTTTAGATATGTTCGACATTAAAAAATAGATAATAACACTAGTTAATTTTTAAACCACAAAAATGTAATCATCTATCACTAAATCAATTAATAGTTCTAATTGATTAATCTATTTCTGGTTTTAAGAGTAACATTTAATAATCACTTTAAACCTAAGTTAATAATCACTTTAAGAATAATATTAATTGAATAACAACTAAAACTTTAAATCACGAAAATAGTTCAAAGCCAGTAACATGGTTCGATCGACCAAATCAACATTATCTCTTTATAAAATTTTACCACTTTTATAAAACAAATGTGCCATGAAACTGGTGCAAACAAATATGCCATGAAAATAATTTAAATTTAAAAGACATTTATTCTATAGTACACAAGATATTAATATATAAAATGTGTGTGACGAAATTATACAAAATAATACGCAACAATTCCGGTCGGAGGTATCAGGTCACACAGCATTAGCATGCTCTAATAGTACAGTGGATTACAACAACTCTTTAATTCAGTTTAAGTAATAGTCAATTCAAGAAAAATATATATAATCTCAACTTCTCACTCTTTTATTCACAACTCATCACTTAACAATATTACAATATTGAATAGAATAAGACTCTTTTGAGAATCAATTTTAAAAAATAAAAAAAATTCAAAGAAAAAACATTTAAAATATAAGGTCCATTAAAAGAGAGAAAAAAAACAAGCAACACGTGATTTCATTAAATGCAATTTTTATTAAAAAATTAAAAAAAATTATTTATACCTAATTTTATCAAAGTCCACACACAAATTCACACTCAAGAAGGTAACATCATGGCATAAGCCTTTGTTCATCCCAATGTCTTCAACAAAACTTCTAAAGCAAATCTAATGCAAGTCATTTACTCTATATCAATTCATGTTCATTAAATCGTCTCCAAATCTTTAGTCCAAATTCATTCAAACATCAAGCCACGCCACGGTTCATATCAATTTCAAATCATCAACAATTTAAAACTCAAGAAGTCAAGTTCCTATATCAATAAAGCAAAAAAGAATCAAGTTTTCTATCCTATTCTACTTAATTTAAGACAATACCAAAATAGAATAGCAGGACAATTTCATATTTCACCAAGAAGTTCAAACTCATATTTCAATCCAAATAAGCTTAAAAGAAAATGCAAATTTATCCAAGATATCTCTTTCATTCAAAAGCTATCAAGTCTCTACGTTACATATCCATTCATATTCATAGTTCTAACATTCAAGCAAACAGCCAGTGTTATGAATAACAGTCAAGCAGCAACCACATAGTGTGTATAGCAGGTAGCACATTTTGAACAACAAGTAAAGGGACCACACACACTCAGAATATGTAAAATGGAAAAACAAAAGCAACAACAAAAGTTCATAGTACACTAGCCTTAACACAAAAACAGAAAAAAGAAAAAAAGCTACAACAGGAACCACACAACGAGAGCAGAACAAAATTTTAGAATCATGGCAAGTATTGTCTGCTAACCCTAGCATATTGGGGTATATATAATGCTTTATTTCACAGAAAAAACCTAAGTATTTTCTACACACAAAAGCCACAATATTGGAGGCAGCCACCATCATGTGAATAAACCCTAAGCACACACCTAATTCACAGACATCAAAATTCAAGGGAGGAGGCAGAAAACGAAGAAACCTGTTTTGAAGCGTCACAGAGTGTTACTTTCAACCTTCCTAAAGGTTCTTCTCACAAACCTTATTATAGCTCATAAGAGGCTCTGAACCAAGTTGAACTTAGCCTAAAATTTTTAACACTTTGACTATATATAAATATTTGTTAAAGGACCTTATATTGAAGGACAAAATAAATTGTAAAAGAGATTATAATTCTTAAGAGAAAAGGGTATAAATTTATAGAATAAGGATTATATTATAGTACAAGTCTATAATTTTTAAGGGAGAAACTGATTCACAAACCTAACAAACCAAAAACAGAATCAGTCGAAAATAGGAAGATGAAGGGAGAAACTGATTCACAAACCTAACCCAAACCAAGAACATAATCAGCCGAAAAATAAAGAAGAAGTACATTGCGACGAAATACGAATCATAAACAAATCCATAAACCTGGTTCAAGCAGAATCGAAGAGATTGAGACAAGGTCGACGAAGATTAATACAACAATTGAAACCCATAAACGATCAAGGACAAAAGAAAAACGTAAAGTAAACATTGAACCTGTGAGAATTGAAGAACAAGACAATGCGGTCGAGAAACAAGACCAGGTTTAGAATGTGCTACAATACGAGTCAGTGTTATGAATGCACGAGAGAAAAGATGAGAAAGAGTCATGACTTAGGGTTCTAGCAATGGATTCAAGCTCTACGGTAGCTCCGGCGAATTTATCATGGTCGGAGAGTTTGTTGAGATAGGTAATGACTCGTTGCCGGAGAAGAAAGTGAATTGCTTAAAAGGACAAAGAAAAGAAGAAGAAAAAATTAAGAGGAATGTGACAACTAACACCGTAATTTTATACGCTTTTGTTATTTTAATATATTTAATGATTATTTTTCAATTTTACAGATACAAATAAACACACGCTAATGTTGTATTTTAAATGGTGTAGGCATACGGTGTAGGATTTTGGTGTTAGCATAGCAATGCTCAAAAATTAAGAATACATTATATTTAGGAATTGATGTAGCAATACATTTTATTTTATATAAAATAAAAAAATTATATTTTTAATTAAGATTTCTCACAATTTATAAAAGATTTTTATATTTAGAAAATATATTTTTTGATGGATTTTTTAATAAAGTAGATTTTGAAAATATTAAAGAGATGGGAGGAACAAACAATAATTATTAGATCATAATTAAATTTATTTATTAATATCGTCATGTTTTATTTCATATTTTTTTCTTTTTTCTATTCTCTTAATTTTTTGTCATTGTATTTAATATGATCAATTCAAATGTCATGTCTTAATATTTTTATTGGGTTTATTTGATGAAGATATCTACATAAACACTTAACAGTAATAAAAAGAATCACTTCCAACGGACACGCGTCTTCGTTACGCTCCCGTCATTGTCACTTACAAACAAACCGACCCGACACAATGTAGTTGTATAGAAGTTAAATGTTTATTGAATTTCACTTTACTGAATCATTCCATTAATTATAATTAGTAAAAGTATATTTTATAAATAATATTAATTGACTCAATTAATGGAAATGAATAGAACTTAAACGTGACTTTTTATTTGAGACAGAAAAGTATAAATTACCTCAAATATCATGGAAAAACAGTGGAAATTGAAAGGGTATGATCAGAAAACCCTAGTGAATCTTGCGTAGGCACTTTAGGGTTTTCTCTTCTCAATTTCAATTCCTGATTCAATTGGAAATTAATCGATACAACATGTAACTCTCATGTCTCTACACTCAATAGATACATGTATAATATATACATGCATAATAGGATTTTTGCTTTCAATTTCAATAAAAATACCTAAACCACGTATCAATCATAATAATAATGGCAACCCCCTTACCTCACTTCCTAGCAGTTGATCTCCCTTCTTTCGCATCTTCTAAGGAAATCTCCTTTGGTTCTCTGTGCTCTAGCCCTTTTCCATGATTTATCTCCAATCTCACGATCATACATAAATGAACCACCACTCTCCTATTTTCCTTGTTTAACCCTCAGACCCCTAATATGCCTTTCCAAACTTGCCCCCACTAATCCTCATGAATATTACCCCTTTGCTCTTATTCTCCTTTTCACCTTAATATCTGATTGATTATTATTATATTTCCAAATAATATAAACTAAATTATTTAAATTTAAATAATTTTACTCATCCCTCCATATTCCTCTTATTTCCCCACAACACATCGACACACATCATACAAATAAATCCAAATTCACAATTAATCACAAATAATCACGTAAATAAATAATTATAAATTTTTGGGGTGTTACAAC